CCCGCCACAACGCCCGGCCATTTTTTGGTTGCAGCCGTCATTGTTGTTCGTCAGGTCCGGGCTGGGGATTCGAACCTGCCACCCTAGGTGTACGTGGCTGGCGCCCTAGCCGGTTGAGCTATAGGCGCCGAGCCTGCCTGTCTGATCTTGAACTCCTGGCCTCCAGGGATCCTCCCACCTTAGCCTCCCAAATTGTGGGGATTACAGGTGTAAATCACTATGTGTGGCCAATTTTTTTTTTTCTAAGACAGGGTCTCTCTCTGTCCCCTAGGTGTGCCGCCCACACCCAGCTATTCTTAAGAGACAGGTCCTGCTCTGACTCAGTCTGGTCTCAAACTTGTGAGCTCAGGCAATCCACCTGCCTCAGCCTTCCAGAGTGCTGGGATTACAGGTGTGAGCCACGGCGCCCCACCTCCTCTGGTGATTTCATTGCACACTCCTCTGCACTTTATCCCCATTGAACAAAATTCATTCATTTAACAAATATTTAGTGCTTGTTCCAGCATCACATACACTAAAAATACTAAAAATTGGAATGGTACAGAGAAGATTAGCATGGCCTCTACAAAGAATGACATGTAAATTAGTGAAGCATTTCATATTAAAAACAAATCAGGGCAAGATGCAGTGGCTCATGCCTATAATCTCAACACTTCGGAAAGCAAAAGCAAGAGGATTGCTTGACCCCAGATGTTTGAGGTTGCAGTGAGCTATGATCTCACCACAGCCCTCCAGCCTAGGGGACAGAGAGAGACCCTGTCTCAAAAAAAAAAAAGAAAAGAAAAATTGGCTAGACATAGTGACGTACACCTGTAATCCCCACAACTTGGGAGGCTGAGGTGGGAGGATCCCTTGAGGCCAGGAGTTCAAGATCAGACAGGCAACATACATAGTAAGACGTCTGGGAGGCCGAGGCAGATGGATTGCCTGAGCTCACAGGTTGGAGACCAGCCTGAGCCAGAGCGAGACCTCGTCTCTAAAAAAATAGCTGAGCATTGTGGCAAGTGCCAGTAGTCCCAGATACTTGGGAGGTTGAGGCAAGAGAATTACTTTAGCCCAAGAGTTTGAGGTTCCTACAAGATATGATGCCACAGGCTCGGCGCCCATAGCTCAACCAGCTAAGGCGCCAGCCACGTACACCTAAGGTGGCGGGTTCGAATCCCCAGCCCGGACCCGCCAAACAACAATGACGGCTGCAACCAAAAAATAGCCGGGCGTTGTGGCGGGCGCCTGTGGTCCCAGCTACTTGGGAGGCGGAGGCAGGAGACTCGCTTGAGCCCAGGAGTTGGAGGTTGCTGTGAGCTGTAATGCCACGGCACTCTACCCAGGGGGACAGCTTGAGGCTCTGTCTTAAAAAAAAAAAAAAAAAGATATGATGCCACAGCACTGTACTGAGGGTGACAAAGTGAGATTCTGTCTCCAAAAAAAAAATTAATTGAAATTTTTTTCCCAGATATGGTGGCATATGCCTGTAGTCCCAGCTACCTGAGAAGTTAAGGAAGAAGGATTGCTTGATCCCAGGGGTTTGAGGCTGCAGAGGCTGCATTGAACTATGATGATGCCACTGCACTCCAGCCTGAGCAACACAGTAAGTCCCTGTCATTTAAAAAAAAAAATATATATATATATACACATGCTTATATAAATATTTATTGAGTTATTATCACTTGTCAGGTACTCTGCTAGCTCCTAGGACTATAATGGTGAACCACAGAGAACAACACGCTCTGGTCTGGGTATGGGGACAGACAATAAAAGTTATATACACAAAAAGCAAGATAATTACAAATTGTAATCAGTGCGACAAAAAAGAAACTTGCTATAATAGGTACAAGAATTACCACAGTGGCCAGGCAAGGTGGCTCACACCTGTAATCCTAGCAATCCTAGCACTCGAGGAGGCTGAGGCGGGTGGATTGCCTGAGCTCATGGGTTTGAGACTAGCCTGAGCAAGAGTGAGACACCCCCCCATCTCTAAAAGTTATCCAAGAGGCTGAAGCAAGAGAATCTCTTGAGCCCAGGAATTTGAGGTTGCTGTAAGCTATGACACCATGTCACTCTATAGAGGGTGACAAAGTGAGATTCTGTTTCAAAAAAAAAAAAATGCCTGGCAAGGTGGCTCATGCTTGTAATTCTAGCACTCTGGGAGGCTGAAGTGGGTGCATAGTTTGAGCTCAGGAGTTTGAGACCAGCCTGAGCCAAAAGCAAGGACCCCCTCCCCCATCTTTACTAAATGTAGAACAGAGGCAAGAGGATCTCTTGAGCCCAAGAGTTGGAGGTTGCTGTGAGCTATGACACCACTGCACTCTACCCAGGGCAACAGCTTGAGACTCTGTCTCAAAAAAAAAGTCTGGCTTGGCGCCCGTAGCACAGTGGTTACCGCACTGGCCACATGCACCAGGACTGGGGTTTTGAACTCAACCCAGGCCTACTAAACAATGGCAACTGCAACAAGAAAATAGCCAGTCACTGTGGCAAGTGCCTATAGTCCCTGCTACTCAGGCAGCTGAGGCAAGAGAATTTAAGTCCAAGAATTTGAGGTTGATGTGAGCTGTGATGCCACAGCACTCTACCGAGGGTGACATAGTGAGACTCTATCTCAAAAAAAAAAACAAAAAAAACTTCCTTCTTTTCTTCCCCAGATACCAGCTTCCATCACCAGAGGCAATCACGCTGCCTGTTGTATGTCCTTTCTGAGGTACCTCATCACATACAAGCAAAAGGGCACATAGTCTCTGACTTTTTTACTTTCAATTTTTTTGAGCAATTTCTTTTCTTTTTTTTTTTTTTTTGGCCAAGGCTAGGTTTGAACCTGCCACCTCCGGTATATGGGATGGGGCTGGTGCCCTACTCCTTGAGCCACAGGTGCCACCCTAATTTTTTTTGAGACAGAGTCTCACTTCGTCAACCCTGGTAGAGTGCCCTGGCGTCATAGCTCACAGCAACCTCTAACTCTTGGGCTCAAGTGATTCTTTTGCCTCAGCCCCCCTAATAGCTGGGACTACAGGGCCCCACCACAATGCTTGGCTATTTGTTGTTGTTGTTGTTGTTGTTGTTGTTGTTTAGCAGGCTTGGGTCAGGTTCAAACCCACCAGCCCTGGAGTATATGGCTGGCACCCTAACCACTGAGCCACAGGCCCCCAGCCTGGCTTTTTTACTTAAATGGTAGTATATGTTCAATGCCCACATCCCACCTTACTTTCTTCATCTATCAGCACATCATGGGCATTGCCTCCCTCAGTCTTTAGATCTGTGGATAAAGAAGGTAGCGCTTGTCAAGCAGAGTTCAGAATGGGAGTGGGGGATACTGCAGCCAATTACAAGTGCCTGAGGCTTTCTGTGTGCAGAGGAAGGAGACTGGTGTGCCTGCAGGGTGATGAACAAATCTCTGTAAACAAGTGATAATGCCAGGCTGGGAGCAAGGTCTGGGCATGCAGATTCTTGCCAGTCAAGAAAGAAGTTGGCCATTCATTCTAATAGTCATAGCCACCGGATGCAGTTTTTATTTTTTTTCCTAGAGACAGAGTCTCACTTTGTCGCCCTCAGAAGAGTGCTGTGGCATCACAGCTCACAGCAACCTCCAGCTCTTGGGCTTAGGCGGCTCTCTTGCCTCAGCCTCCCGAGTAGCTGGGACTACAGGTGCCCACCACGACGCCCAGCTATTTTTTGTTGTTGTTGTTGCAGTTTAGCTGAGGCTGGGTTCGAACCTGCCACCCTCGGTATATAGGGCCAGCGCCCTACTCACTGAGCCACAGGTGCCACTCCTGGATGTGTTTTTAACGGAGTGACATGATCTGAATTGCATTTTTCAAGTGACTAGTGACCGGGTGGGACTGGGAGAGGACCCCAGATCGGAAGTAGCTGGAGTGTTCCAGGTGAGAAGGGATGTGGGCTTGGACTAGAATGGGGTGGAGAAAAAGGTTGGATTCGGGGCATATATCACAGCTAGAACAGAAAAATCTTCAGGACAGATTAAACCTGGACAATGAGGACAAGTAGAGATTTGAGGACCCAGAACTAGAAGTTGTTAGGTTTTGCGGCTGTGATAATGTCTATCATTTGCTTTAAAATACTTCAATATATATAAATAGTTTCACATTATATAAATGCCAGTTTAAACACAGGGATTCTGTAAGTGTTGTCCGCAGACCAGCATCAATTGGGAACGTGCTGGAAATACAAAATGGCGGAATCAGAAATCCTGGATGTAGGACCCAGCAATTAGTGTTTTAACAAGCTCTCTGGGTGATGCTAAAGCATGTCCAAGTTTTACAAGCTCTGGTATAAGCCCTAATTCTGAGGATGGTTTGCTAATTAGCCTTTTAATTTTTTTTTTTTTTTTTTGAGACAGAGTCTCACTTTGTAGCCCTGTGTAGAGTGCCACAGTATCACAGCTCAGAACCTCAAACTCTTGGGGTCAAGACATCCTCTTGCCTCAGCCTCCCAAGGAGCTGGGATTACAGACACCTGTCATAACACAGGGCTAGTTTTTGGTTTTTGTTTCTTTTTTGAAACAGAGTCTCACTCCGTCACGCTGGGTAGAGTACTATACCATCATAGCTCACAGCAACCTCAAGCACCTGGGTTCAGGCAATCCTCTTGCCTCAGACTCTTGAGTAGCTGGTACTACAGGCACCGGCCACAACCCCCCACTGATTTTTTCTGTGTTTAGTAGAAACGGAGTCACACTCTTGCTCAGGCTGGTCTCAAAATCCCGAGCTCAAGAGATCCACCTACTTTGGCCGCCCAGAGTGGTGGTATGACAGGCCTGAGCCATCATGGCCCACCAGGGAACTAGCATTAAAATGCATACCAGGCCTTCCTTTTCCAGTTGCGGAGCTGTGCAGGGAGGACCCCCAGTCTACGCTGGTAGCCATGCCATCCAAGCGCCTGCTTCAGCCCGCGCAGGTCTTCCCACGCAAGAAAACTGCCACAGCTGTGGCACACCGCAAACACAGCAGTGGCCTCCTCAAGGTGAACGGGCGACCCTGGAGATGATCCAGCTGCACACACTGCCGGACAGGCTTCTGGAACCTGTTCTGCTTCTGGGCAAGTAGCAGTTTGCTGGTGTAGACATTCGTGTCCCTGTGAAAGGCAGTGGTCACGTGACCCAGCTTTATGTTATCCATGGGTCCATCTCCACACCAGAAATATGTGGATGAGGCTTTCAAGAAGAAGATTAAAGATATCCTCATCCAGTATGACCAGACCCTGCTTGTAGCTGACCCCGTTGCTGCGAATCCAAAAAGTGTGGAGGCCCTAGTGCCAGAGCGCGAGACCAGAAATCTTACCAATAAGCCCATCATGAAGGTTGGGGTTCACTTGAACAATAAACAATGGTTGTAGAGGAAAAATAAAAGCACAACAGCTATAATCTCAGCACTCTGGGAGGCTGAGGCCAGTGGATTTCTTGAGCTCAGGAGTTGGAAACCAGCCTGAGCAAGAATGAGACCCCATCTCTACTAAAAATAGAAAAACTAGCTGGGCATCATGGTGAGTCCCTATAGTCTCAGCTACTTGGGTGTCTGAGGCAGGAGGATCACTTGAGCCCAAGAGTTTGAGGTTTCTGTGAGCTATGACAGCACAGCCCTCTACCAAGGGTCACA